CGGGGCGGGGCGTGGAGCCAGCTCCCAGCAGGGGACCCCCGGCCCGGTCAGCCCCGGGAGCAGCCACCCTCGAGACCTCTGCTGGGCCCGGCCGCGCGGTCCCCGTCCCCACACAGGAAGGGCGCCCGCCGGCTCCTGCCGCTCCCGCAGCCGGGTGCGCCCCGGACCCCGGTGCCCGCCGGCCTCCTGCCGTTCCCGCAGCTTTTCTTTTACGTGCTCCCTGTCGAAGTCCCGGGGCCTCTTGGCTCTAGCTTGGCTGGCTGTCAGACGGAGAAGGAGACTTCGGATGGTGGGGGGACCCGGGGACTGTAGAGCTGTCACTGTCGCTGTCTCTGCCTCATTCACTGGCTCCTTGCACTCTGTTGAAGGCCGGTAGGCACTGACCAATGTGCTCTGCTCTGTCACCTCTGGGACTGCGCTTTGTGATACCCCCCTCCTGTCCCTAGTTTGCATTGTTTTACCTCACAACACTTCAGCTTCCCAGGGAACCTCAGTAACAGGAATATCACAGCAGGGGGTTACGGGAACAGAGACATTTAAAGGGAAGATCTGGCCTGGATGCTCTGGGAAGTCGATTTTTTTTTGGTCTGTAAGTAGACCTACAAAGTTTGTCGCTTTGTCTTGTGTTTAATGTGTGCTCCAGAAACTTTGCCAGCTTTGTATTGAAGAATTTGCCAGTGAGTTTTAATAGACACATCTTGTAATATCCTAGTTTCAAACAATATTTTGCCTACTTCAGTTGTCAGAGCACTTTGTGAAAATGCCAATGGACCCATAGGATCAGAAGAAAGTAGGGCTGGAAGAGACCCTACAGAGTCATCTAGTTCAGCCCCCTACTCAAGGCAGGATCATTCATCCCTGACCAAACCATCCCTGACAGGTGTTGACTAACCTGCTCTTGAAAACTTCCAAGGATGGCAGTTCCACCATTTCTCCAGGTAGCCTGTTCCAGTGCTTGACCACCTTCATAGTCAGAAATTTCCTCCTAATGTTCAACCTAAATTTCCCCTGCAGAAGCTTGAGGCCATTGCTCCTAGTCCTGTCTCCTACAGTAACAGAGAAAAGCCCATCTCTATCCTCTCTGTAATTGCCCTTCAGGTATTTGAAGACTATTATCAAATCATCCCCCGGTCTTCTCTTCTCCAGAGTAACTAACTCTAGTTCTTTCAGCTTTTCTTCATAAGTCTTGCCTCCCAGGTCTTTTCATTTTTGTTGTTCTGTGCTGGACTCTCCAAACTGTCCACATCCTTCTTTCTGTACATTGCTTTATTAGTCTTCTTCCTGTCCACGCTGCCTGCTTTCCATCTCCAGAGGGAGCTGCTGATAAAATGAAAATGATTAGGAGCTGTTGTGTATCTGTAATTTATCACATCGTTTGAGACATCTTCATATCTTTCTCTTTTGGAGGATAATCATTTTTGTTCTAAAAAAATCATTTTCATATTTTTGTTTTGTTGATTTTTATACAGGAGGATATGCACTTTTATATAGAGAGAATTTATGCAAAACAAGAACAAAAATATTAGTCAGATATTCCTAACACCTGACCGATCCTGAATTTGAGTTTTATGAAGCTGCCAAGACACGTGTGTTCCAGAGAGAGAGGCCTGCCACTAAACAGTGTGCTCCTTTTGATTTGGAGATCAAGTGCTTCCTGATTGTCTTAAATTATATGGCTGGGTAGACAGCAAGAAGTGATCTCAGATAACTGAGTCCCAGAACTTAATTTGGATTTGCATGGATCAACAAAAACACCTTGAAATGTGCCTGTACTGGAACAGCCAGTGCAAAGACATGAATAGATGTGGGGTTCAAGATAGTAGTTCTATCCTGTGCTAGCTGAAGTTTTCCCCAGTCAGTGGTACCTTTTAGGTAGGCTTTATGTTGATTAAAGCATGTAGGCAACATGGTATGCATTGCCTCTGTGAAGCTGCCAACAGTCTCTTCTGCTGTAAATAATAATAAAAAGGCACATTAGGCTACTTACAGGCACATCCAGACGTGCGTGGACATTTGGTTCCCTGGGGAGATGTAGCAGCAGTACACCTTGTGTCGCAGCTGCTTGTTCCCGGGGAACGCCTGTGCCACATTCACTTTGGCACGCTGCAAGTTGCCTTGGCTGGGGGCAGTAGGAGAGGCCAGGATATCCAGGGTTCAAAAAAATCATGGAAAAAAAATGGAGCAGAGCATGCTCAGGCAGTGCACTTTTGCAGTATGGAGAATACTGGACTGTGCAGTATGTGGTATTGCAAATGTGTTTGCAGTGCCACATACTGCACAATCATGCTCGTCTGGATGTGCCCTACCAGTCTAAGGAACTAGGAGCAAAATTGTGTATGGTAGGAACTATTGTCAAAAACAGTTTTAGCTTAAATAGTGTTTGCACTTCTGGGGACACTGGGTCTTGTAGGTCAAATCATAAGCTCCTGTACTTTAAGAATCATTTAACATTTGCGTGGGACAGCTGTTGTCAAACCTTTGCAGTCATTACATATGGCAGTTCTGTTAGGATGTAAGTATTATTACTTTTGAAATACTTGTTTTTCTCTACAGCTTATAGCCTTATAGATGCAAAGTTTATTTTCAGTTGGTCTGAAATTGGGCTAGATGATCCTACAAGAATTTATAAATGTGCTTAATCTTCTGACACATAACATTCAATTTGGTGTTTATTGGATGAGTTAAACGTACATCTAGTACAGTATGAATAGTGTATTTCATGTTATGTTAATATTACTTTGTATTTTGTTTCATGAAGCAGGAAAAATACTTAGTAAAATTATCAGCTGCTTTAGCTTGTGGATTTGATTTTATCACAAGGTCAAAAAAAGAACACTTCAGTATGAAAGGAACTATAATACTATATGATTTGACATACTAAGTGTTTCTAGTAAAGAATGTGTAGTTTTAAAAACCAAATCTGGGTTAAGTATATTAGATTTCAGTAGTTTTGAATTAATCCTACAAATGTTGAGTTAAGAGAGAAACTCTTCTGTAACACAACCAGTCTCTTTTTTTGGCAGTGATATTACTAATTCACTATCTCCAATGATTGCCAAATATTAAAATCACATGGAAAGCATTCATGAAACTTCATTTAGTGATAGTTCAGAGGTTTGAGGCTGCTGCTTGTGATCATCTACACAGGTAAATACTGGGCATTTCCAGGTAGGGGCTTATAAGGGGTTAAGAGTTTTGTTGTATATTCTGAATGGATAAACTTAGCTAACCAAGTAACACAGCCATGTGCTCAAATGGAAAATAAAAAAATGGCAAGATAAAAGAAAAAAATCACAAAGACAGAAGAGTAAAACTCAGACTATGTTCCTTTACTTTATCATATTTTTTTAATCTGCCAATAAAGCAAGTAGTATTATAGTTTGTTCATTTCTATTTGCTAATTTTTTTCATGACAATTGGCAAGAAGGGTACAGAGATTACTACTTTTTCACAGGAGGAATTAATAAAACACCTATTCAAACTCAGCAGAGACTAGTTCAAGCAACTGAAAGGTAAACAAATGTGACATTGGAGTGTCATTAGAGTTAGCCTGTGCTACACAAATATTTGTTTCTGAAAAGTAAGAAAATGACTATTGATGATTTGTAAGTTGGGTCTTATTATACAGGTAATGTAGGAAATATAGACGGTACCTAACTCAACATGGCATAGTATTCTTGTGTATTAAGGTGCACCATAAAAACACATTCTTTCCTCTCTTCTAGAGTGACAGTTGGGAAGTTAATATGCTTTGCCATTTGTCTGAAATAAGGAGTAACATAAAAATATTGCAATAATGTTTTATAATATCAAATAAAATATTAAAACAAACTCTCCTATGCAGATATCCTGTTTTCTGGAATCTCACAGAAGATAATTTCTAAATTTTACAGTCTGAGCTGCTTGAGGTGTTATGTTACTACCTGAAAAATTGTAGTATGTTTTGGTAGTTTTATTTAAAGTTATTCTTGTTAGATTATTTTGTATTGTTTTAAAATAACATAATGCTATAATTAAATTATATAAAAATAATCATGCTAAAGTGAGAAACGTGGGGTTTTTGTTTGTAAAAGCCTGATTTTAATCCCTATTGAGATTAAAGATAACACACCTCTTTACTTCTGTAGAAGTACTGTGGCTTTAATTTTGACCAAAATCGCTGCCACTGATTATTCATTGTCTTTGTAATGAAGAACACTGAAGCATATTATATTGACCTATAGATTAGATTTTGAGTGTGTGTAACTGCAACTATAAAATGAAACATGCCAAATTGTAGTTGAATTATAGTAATAAGGCTGATACTACAGAATACTTAGCTCATAGTATATGCCAATTCTAGATTGTTTTTAAAGGGAAATAGAGAGGCAATTGGCTGTGTCCTTAGCAGATTTCTTGATAATTAATATGTCTGAGCATCCTTTGATCTTTTTAATAGAAGACAAAGACGGACATTGTGGTTTCCTGTAACTCATTTTTGGAACTCTTTCTAATATTAATTTTTGTTGTGGCTGATGTAATTAGTATAGTCCATGCTTTTTGTGTGTGATCCTTGTAAAATATAAAGTTGCTATAGTTTCGCTAAGCAATTGATATGCATCTTTCAATAATATTGTCTAAATTTTTCTTAAGTAATGCTGCTGAAATGCTGTGCTGCTCACGAGGGTTTTGACTTTCCAGGTGCTGTTTTGGTAAAATTAGTTAAGGACTTACGGCAGAGCTCACATTAATTTTGTATCTGTACAACTGTAAAAGGTCATTTAAAGGGAATTAAAATGTTTCACTGTAACTACTGCTGTACCCAAAAGATATGAACAAGCTCTGATTTTCTTAGTCCACCATTTTAATACTTAAGATTTATCTCCCCCAGATCCGTGTTTGCCATACTAGATCGTACAGCAGTGTTCGCTTTCTGAAGTCAAAATACGTGTATGCATTTGACAAATCTGCCTTTTTTAATCATCAACACAGATTGTTCAGAACATCTGCTAGTAAGTTTTTTTTCTTATTTATGTAACTTACTTTACACTACTGTTTTATATGTTATATTAGTAGTCCATTTATTACTAATTAGTATATAATCTAGTTTTTAGTACATTAATATTTTTCCTTGTGATCATTTACATTTTATATTTAACTTGATATTTTTGTCCCATTTTTCTATTTCAAGTTTCAAATGGCCAAATTGTCCAATTTAAGCTTTCTGATATTGGAGAAGGGATTACAGAGGTAACTGTGAAGGAATGGTAAGTTATTTTTCTTATTGATATACTTAAAAAATCAGAAGTCCTTTATATGATTGTTAATCATCAGCAGGGATCTGGGTTTTCTGGTCACCATGGGAAAACACAATAAAACATGGATTTCCTTATTTTAAGGAGAAAAATGAGGAATTTCTTATTTTAAGGACAAAAGACCCCCAGATTTTCTGTCTTTAAGGAGAAAAACGTGGGAAATGGTAGGTTTCTCCTTGTAGGCTGGCAGCGTTATAGCCTGCAATGGGCTGGGGGGAGCCAGAGGAGGGTGTTCAGGCAGGAGGTGCCCCATGCATGTACACATATATACACATGCATGTGGCAGCCAGGCAGCATGGAGAGCAACTATTTGCAGGTAAGTCTGGGAGTGGTGGAGGATTGAGGCCCCCATAGTGAGGGATGGAGGGAGTTGGGCAGGACTGGGGCTGGGGGCACTGCCCAACCAGGGCAGTGCGTGGGGCCTGGGGTTAGGGTGGGAACATGTGGCTGCAGGCCCTTGGCGGAAAGCGAGATGGAGCTATGAGCAGCTTGTCCAGGAGGCGGTAGGAGGGCTGGCCCCCCACCAGTGCGCTCACTCCCAGGAAGGATGTGGGGGCCATGTGACCCCTAGATTTGTGGGGGGGTGCAGGCTGGCAGCTACAGGCTTGGGGCTCCCTGCCTTTTTGCTCTCCCCCAGGGGCCTCCTCAGGCAAGTGGATGGGATCTGGTGCAGCAGGGCAGAACGGGGGCGGGGTGGCTTGGTGCAGCCACCGGGAGCTGTGGGCCACCATGGCAAGGTACCCCATACCTGCCTGGCAGCAGTGAGTTGCACAACTCTGTGCCACTGCTGCCGGGTGGGCAGTGGGTGCCTCGCCATGGTGGTATGGGGCTCTCAGCAGTGGCCCCAAGCTTCCCCGCTCCACTCTGCCCTGCTGCACCAGGTCCCACCCACTGGGTCGTGGAGGCCCAGTGGGGAGTGAGGGGCACTGGCAGGCCCAAGGGGCTGTGGGTCCTGAGTGAGGGCACTGGCAGGGTAGGGAGCTGAGGGGTAGGAGTGTGGGGCACCCTCAGGGCTGGGAGGCTGTGGGTCAGTGGCATTGGCAGGGCTGCTTAGTACCACAAAGCAGCAGTGGGGGGGATCAAAGGGCAAGGGAAGCTCTGATTTTCCATGATAAAAATACTTAAAATCAAACGCCAAAATTTATACATATTTAGATTTTATTTTAGTATAGTGATTGAGGCACTGGTAGGCATCTTCATTGCTATAAAATTGTAGATATCTCAATAAAACATGTTCAACAGACACCTATATATAGAATCATACAAAGCTGTGGTTGGAAGGGACCTCAGGAGGTCATCTAGTCCAACCCCTGCTCAAATCAGGACCAGCCCGAACTAGATCATCCTAGCCAATGCTTTGTCTAGCTGGGTTTTGAAAGTCCCCAAGGATGAAGCTTCCACCATCTCTCTCGGTAACCTGTTCCAGTGTTTTACTACTCTCCTCGTGAGAAAATTCTTCTGAATATCTAACCTAAACTTCCCTT